TGCCCGGTGCTTTGCCCGGTGCCACCGGCGCAGCCCCGGTGTGCCCGCGCCGGGAGCTGGGGGCGCTGCTTTCATCCCTGAATCCCACAAAACCGGGATTTTTGGGGGGGAAACCCCAAGGATAACGCGGATAAAACTCCCTCCCTGCGGTGCCACCCCCGCGGCACCTCGGCCACCGCGCCGGCCCGGATTCGGGCGGATTTGTACATTATTTATTACAAAATATACAATTCTTGTACACCCGCCTGGCTGCTGGGCTTCTCCGGGACGGGGGCCCGGCCCCGCGTGTCCCCCGCGTGTCCCCCACGTGTCCCCCCGCGCGTCTCCGTTGTCCCCAGCCCCTGCCCCCGTTCGGTAGCACCGTCCCGGCCGCTCCTGTTTGCCTTGGGCCGGGCTCGGCCGGGCTGGCGGCGGCGGGGGGGGCTCGGTGCCAGCTCCCCGCGGCCAGCGGGACGTGGCAGCCGGGGCGGGGGCACCCCCCGGGACCCCCCCGCTGGCCCCGGGACGGGCCAAGCCAGCGGCCGGGCACCCCCGGCGTGACCCCCGCGGGAGGGGCAGGGGTGGCTCTGTCCCGCTGCCACCCGGGTGTCCCCAGCGCGGTTATTTTTGGGTGTCCCCCCCTCGCCGCCTCCCGCCGTCCCAGGCGCGGATGCTGTAATGGAACAGGCGGCGTTTATGGGGCCAAACCCGGGACAACATTTCCCTTCTCCAAGCCGCCCTGGCCCCGGCGCGGCATTTTTCCACCCTTTTTTCCACCCTTCTCGCTGGATGCGGCATCAAAGGGGGGCGCGGGGGCCCCCGGGGGGGCTCCTTGGCCCGGGCAGCGGCCAAATCCCGGCCCCGCTGTCCCGGCCCGGTCCCGCCGGGCCGCGATCCCAGCGCGGGCGGATGCCGGCACGGCGGGGGGGAGGCGGAGGGAGGAGGCACCTGGAATGCTGAGATTCCATGGCGAGGTGTCGTTCCAGCCCCTCCTTCCCAAAATCTGGCTGCTCCCTGTCCTGGGTTCTCCCTGTCCTCGGTGTTGTTTTTCCCTGGGTTCTCCTTGTCCTGGATTTCCCCTGTCCTGGATTTTCCTTGTCCTGGGTTCTCCTTATCCTGTATTTTCCCTGTCTGGGTTCTCCTTATTCTGGATTCTCCTTATCCTAGATTCTCCCGATCCTGGATTTTCCCTGTCCCGTTTTTCTCCTTATCCTGGATTTTCCTGTTTTTCCCTGGATCCCGATTTCCCCGGGTTCCAGGAATTGTTCCCACCGGATTCCAGGTCCCCTCCCCAGGGACCCCCCGGGGGAGGCTCCCGGTGGCAGCGCCCGGGACAGGGCCGGGAATGCGGGAATGCGGGAATGCGGGAATGCGGGAATTCGATGTGGGAATGCCGGGATCCTGCGGGAATGTGGGAATGTGGGAATGCAAGAATTCCACATGGGAATTCCGGCTTGGGCCTGGGCAGATGGAAATGGCTCCCGTTGCTATTCCTGGAGCCAGGAAGGAAAACAGGAGCGGAAAAGGCAAAAAAGGGGGGAAAATTGGGAAAATGGGAGAAAAAATGGGGGGACAGAGAAAAAAGGGGAAAAAAGGGGGGAGGGAAGGGCAAAAATAAAAAAAGAGGGACAGAAGGGGTGACCCCAATCCCAGGGACACCCCAGGGACCCCAATCTGTGGGATGGGGGATCCAGGGGGGATTTTTGCAGGTTTTGGGTCAAACCCCCCTCAATTTTCCTGCTTTTTTCATGGAATGTGGGATGGGGATGGAGCGAGGATGCCCTGAAAGGCCCCGGCCGCGGATTTTGGGGTGCCCCAGAGGTGGATTTAACCCTGGAGGGTCCGGGAGGCAGGAGCAGAGCTGGGAACATCCCGGGAGACAGGAAAAACGGGATGAGAAGGGCTCAGAAAAAACTTCTTTTCCCCATTCCCGGCCCCTTTCCAAGCGGGAATGGGAGCCCGGAGCTGGCAGCTCCCGGCCCGCCCCAGCAATTTGGGATGGCCAGATCCCAAAAAAAGACGGGAAAAGGATGTGCCAGCACGTCGGGATCTCAGAGAGGCTTTTTTTGGGATATTCCCCCCTCCTACGCATCCCAAAACCCCTAAACCCCCCCCAGGGAAGCGGGAGTGGAAGGATTTGGGATTTTATTTTGATTTTTTGGGATTTTTGGGGGATATTTTGGGATATTCTGCCCCTTTCCTCAGGGAATAAGGAGCTGGAAAGGCCCCTGGGAAGCTGCTTTTGTTTTGTGGGTTTTTTTATTTCTTTGAAAGAATGGAAAATGTAATGACAGGCTCTGAATGAAAAGAATAAAAGGAAGCAGCTGGAAAGGCCCTAAATAGAGAAAAATCCACCCAAAAATAAAACAGGATGAGAGGGAACAGGGGGTGAAAAGGGGAAGGGAAGGATTTGGGATCCCCTTTCCAGATCCTGTCCCCAAATGGGGCATCCCTGGGACCCCAAAACCGGGAATCCCTGGGCATCCTGAATTGGAACATTCCAGAAACCCCAAATCAGAGAATCCCAGACCTGAGCATCTCTGGGGACCCCAAACTGGAGCATCCCTGGGGACTCCAAATCTGGGAACCCCTGGGCACCCCAAAACAGCTCATCCCGAGGCATCCAGAGCATTCTCAGGGACCCCAAATCAAAAATCCTGAACCACAGCATCCCTGGGGACCCCAGACCCAGAAATCCCTGGGAATCCCGAACTGGATCATCCCTGGGGACACCAAACCAGGGAATCCCTGGGAATTCCGAATCGGAGCATTCCAGGGAACTCCAAATCAGGGAATCCTGGACCTGAGCATCCCTGGGGGCCCCAAACTGGAATCCCTGGGAATCCCAAAGCAGAGCATTCCAGCCCATCCAGCTGTGGAATTCCAGCTGTGGAATTCCAGCCCGTCTGGCCAAGAGGCGCCGCTGCGCTCCCACCGTTCCCTCTGCTGGGAGCCGGGAAAATCCCTGATCCCAAAAATCCTGCATCCCAAAAACACCCGACCCCAAAAATCCCGGATCCCAAAAATCCCAGCTCCCCAAAATCCCCGATCGCAAAAATCCTCAATCCCAAAAATCCCTGATCCCAAAATCCACAATCCCCAGAAACCCCAATCCCCAAAAATCCCTGATCCCAAAAATCCCAGACCCCAAAAATCCTAAAAATCCCCAAAATCCCAAAAATCCCTGATCCCAAAAATTCCCAATCCCAAAACCCCGACCCCTAAAAACCCCCAATTTATTTGTGTTTTTCCAAGGTATTTTATTTTATTTTTCAGCCACCTCTGGAAAAAACATCCCGATTTTTTTTTTCTTCTTTTTCCATCTATTTTTGAACCTTTTTTTGGCTCCTCTTCCCTCTCTGGAGTTCCAGCCCATAAATAATAATAAAAACAACATTTTAAAAGCCTTTTCGCTGACACTTCACCAGCCCTGCCAGAGCCTTTTAATTCTCCAGATGGCGAAAATCCGCCTCAAAATAATAATAAAAAAAAAAGTAAAAAAGGAAAAAAAAGGCCTTAAAAAAAAAAAAAAAGGTCTGGAAGTTTTGGTAAATATTTGGTGTTTTTCTTTTTTTATTTTTCCTTTTTTTTTTCCTTTTTTTTTTTTTGCTTTTTTGAAATTCTGTCACATGAAGTCATAAAAGTGGAGCAGCTTTTTTTGGGATATTTTTGGGATATTTTGAGGAAGGTGCCAGGGCTCCGTGCCCGCTTTGGGGTGCCCGAGGGTTTCCCCATGGTTTGGGGGTGTCACACCCGAGGGGGGGAAACTGAGGCACGGAAAGAAAAAAATTAAAGAATTAAAGAAAAATTAAACTTTAGGAAACTTTTTTCTTTAAAGAATTAAAGAAAAATTAAACTAATTAAAGAAAGTGGAATGATTATTGAACCTCCCAAATGTGTGAAATTCTCAGAGCTCCTCCCCTCAAATTTGGGATTCCCAAAAATTTACATATGCATAGGCTCACCCAACAGACTCATGCATATTCATTATGTGACCACGCCCACTTCGCTCCATATTGGTTGGAATATGAAATTCAAGGAAATCTCAAAACTTTGGGCCTGGAAGGCCAAATTTGGGAGAGAATTTCCCCAAATCCTTTGGGGAAATATTTCCTGGGAGAAAAGTGGAAAATCTGTGTCGGAATTAAGGCCAGGATTCGATCCCAGACCGGATTTGTGGTGTCGTGGTGGCTTTGTGGGGTTGGGGTCGCCTGTCCCGGCCCTGTGCCCCTCTCCTGGCCCTTTGTCACCTCCAGGACATGGGCATCGAGGTCCAGTTGATGGCACTGGGCAGTGTCACTGGGCAGTGCCCACAGTTTGGGGACACCAGGTTGGGGACACTGGCACTGGTGGCACCGGTGGCACTGGTGGCACCGGGCAGTGCCAGTTCTGCCCACTGGGGGGCGCTGAGTGTCTTGGCCCTGCCCCCTGTATGTGACGTCACGAGCCGGGATGGGCGTCACCCCAAATCCCCACCCCCGACCCCAAATCCCGCAGCCCCAACCCCAAACCCCCCATTCCCAATCCCGAATTCCCCATTCCCATTCCCTCATTCCCAATTCCACAGCCCCCAACTCTCCCAGCACGGTCAGGGGGTCCCGGGGCTGTCCCCAATCTCTGTGGGTGCCACCCTTGTCCCCGTGCCCACCCCCAGGCCTGTGGCCTCTGGCTGGGCCCGAGTGGCCCCAGGGTGTCCTCGTCCTGCACCGCCTGGGGACACCCTCAGTGGCCCAGGGTGACACCAAACACCCCAAGGTGACACCGAGCGGCCCAAGGTGACACCAAGCACCCCAGGGTGTGACATTTTTGGGGAACATTCTGATTCTCCCAGTAAATTCTTCCCCGGGAATTTTGGGATCCCGTCCCTGCCCCGGCGCTCCCAGCATGGGCCCGGCACGGCTGGCATTGAGCACAGCCTTAGTGGGTGCCATGGCACGGGGGGGCATTGAGCACAGCCTTAGTGGGTGCCATGGCACGGGCTGGCATTGAGCACGGCTTTAGTGGGTGCCATGGCACGGGGGGGCATTGAGCACGGCTTTACTGGGTGCCATGGCACGGGCTGGCATTCAGCACGGCTTTACACGGGTCCTGGCACAGCTGGCATTTAGCACGGCTTCACTGGCACGCTTGGCACGGGCTGGCATTTAGCACGGCTTTACTGGGTCCTGGCACGGACGCGGCGGTGGCAGCGGGGGTGGCAGCGCGACAGGAATGTGGCTCCCGGAGGGAGGGGACAGGGCTGTGACCCCACAGCCCGTGCGTGGCATTTTGGGGGCGTTACTGGCGGTTTTGGGGTAAAATTCTCATTATGAGACAGCAGCGGGCGGGGCTGGCACAGGGGACACCCTGGGGACATCAGTGGGGATATCACGGCGTCCCCTGAGCCCCTCGGTGCGGTGCCAGCCCCGTGTGGGGCAGGGGACAGGCTGGGGACAAGGGACAGGGGCGAGGTGTCCGTGGGTCGGCGCCTTCTTTGGTTTAAATGTCGGGAATTTTGGAGGGGGGGGGTGACAGGTGGCACCTCCTGGCATTGCGGGTGGCACCGGCGACAGCCTCGGGTGGCTCCTCCAGCCGTGCTGGCTCCTGGGAACGGGGGTGTGGTACAGGAGGGGCGGGATCGGCGCGGATCGGGTGGGGTCGGGTGGGATCGGGCGGTCCGGGATCCCGCGGAACCGGGCGGGAATGATCAGGAATCCCGGGAATCATCACCGGGAATCATCACCGGGAATCATCACCGGGAATGGGGGTCCCGCTGTCCCCCCCCGTTGCTCCAGGGGCGGATCCCGGGGACGGAGCCGCGGGAAAGGCCCGGGAGTGGCCCCGAGGGGCTCTGCCCTGAAAGCGCTGAGGGCAGCGGGGACGCGGCCGTGGTGGCACTGGGGACACTCCAGGAATCTTCATCCTCATCATCCTCCTCCTCATGCCAGCAGGAGCCGCCGAACCCCACAAGGAACCCCCAAAATCCACGCAAATCCCGACGTGGGGGAGCCTCTGGATTCTCCTGAAAACTGCCCCAAAAATCCCTGTGGCGACCCTCCGTGTCCTCCCGGTGTCCCCGGGTCCTTCCGTGTCCTCCCGGTGTCCCCGGGACTCTCCATGTCCTCCCGGTGTCGCTGTGTGCGGGAATGACAACGACGGCGACAAAAAAACCGGGACGGAGCCGCTCCAGCGCCGGGGGTGGCGGGTCCGGGTTTGGGGACCAGCTGTGCCGTGTCCCCGCTGTCCCCGGGATTTGGAGACCAGCTGTGCCGTGTCCCCGCTGTCCCCGGGATTTGGGGACCAGCTGTGCCGTGTCCCCGCTGTCCCCGGGATTTGGGGACCAGCTGTGCCGTGTCCCCGCTGTCTCCCCGGGGTTGGGGACTCGGTGTGACATGTCCGGGGTCCAGGTGTGACATGTCCGGGGTTTGGGGACCGGCCGTGCCGTGTCCCCGCTGTCCCCCTGGGGTCGGGAATTCGGTGTGACATGTCCGGGGTTGGGGACCGGCCGAGCCGTGTCCCCGCAGTCCTGTCGGGGTTGGGGACCGGCCGAGCCGTGTCCCCGCTGTCCCCGGCCCTGGGCACTCGCCGCGCTCCTCTCCCGGCGCTGCCATCGCAGCCCGGGGCTCCTCCTCGCTCGGCCCCGGGCACAAACCGGGCTGGCGGCCGGGCCGAGCCCGCTCCGCGCTCCGCCTCTGCCGCGGGAGCAGCCAGCCCGCTGTCCCCGCGTGTCGCTGGCCCTCATTTGGTGTCGCCGTCGCCGCGGGCCGCGGGCGTGTCGGGCTCCCAGAGGACGAACTCGTGCAGCAGCGTGTTCACCGTGTCGGGGCACTCCAGCATCACCATGTGGCTGCCCTCGTCGATCACCTTCAGGAAGGCGATCAGCAGGATCTGCGGGTGGCCAGCGGCACGGTGAGACCCCTCCCAGAGGTGGCACGAGCCCCAAAAGCTGCTGTGTCCCCTCCCTGGCGACTGGCAGGGCCGGGATGAGCCCCAGCCCTGCCCCAGCCCTCCAAAGCCACTCTGTCCCCTCGCAGGGAATGTCCCTGGCAGGGCTTGGAGCACCCTGGGACAGGGGGAGGCGTCCCTGCCCTGCCAAGCTGGCCCTGCCCATGTCCCTCTCCCTGTGCCACCCCTTGGAGCACCCTGGGACAGTGGAGGGTGTCCCCACCCATGACAAAGTGTCCCTCTCCCATGTCCCTGCCCATGCCAAGCTGTCTCTACCCATCCCTGTGCCACCCTGGCAGTGTCCCTTGGGTCACAAGAGGATTTTCCCCTCCCTCCCCACCCCTCCCCAAAGCTCCACAGCACCCCCCCATTTCTGGGGGGGCAGAGTCCCCAAAACCCCTCTCGGAGGTGCCACCCCATACCTCTGCCATCCTCTGGTCCTCCTCGATGGGCACGAACTTGTCGTGCATGCCGTGCACCAGCAGCACGGGCACGGCCAGCTCGGCGTGGTACAGCTCGTCGCCCTCGGGCCAGTACTGCCCGCTCATGGTGGCCCTCAGCACGAAGGACGAGACGTTGAAGGCGTTGCCCTCCTTCAGCAGCTGCTTCTCCTTGGCACCTTGGCGGGCAAAGCCAGCCCTGGCACAGGGGGAGGGGGCTCAGCCCGAAATTCGGGGGATGGCAGCAAGGGGGAGCAGCCCAGCCCCGCAGAAGTCACACTTTGTCCCCTCCCTTGGGGTGGCAGTGCCAGGGTGAGCCCCAGCCCTCCAGGCCCCCAAAAGCCACCCCCTGTCCCCTCCCTCAGAGTGGCACTGCTGGCCTGAGTCCCCTGAGAGGTGACAGGAGATTCCAGCCCCTCAAAAGCCACCCCCTGTCCCCTTCCTCGGCAGTGGCAGTGCCAGGCTGACCCCTGGGTGGCACAGGACCCTCCCCCGGGCTGCCACTCACTTGAGGAAGCTCCAGGCCAGGCAGGGGGACAGGCAGTGCAGCACACAGGGGGGCAGGTTGAAGATGGAGCACAGGCTGGGCTCCAGCGCTGTGGGGCCGCCCCCGTTGATCATGATCACCTTGTGCACCAGCTCGGGGTACTCGTGAGCCAGGAACGTGCAGAAGGACACCCTGAAAGGGTTAAAAATAACCACAGAGTTGTTGGCTTTCCCTATTTTAAATGTTAATTATACTAATTATATTGATTATATTGATTGTGATCACTTTGTGCACCAGCTCGGGGTACTCGTGTGCCAGGAACGTGCAGAAGGCCACCCTGAGGGGACATGGGGACGTGGTGCCAGCGTGGCAGGGCTCTGTCTCCTTTGTTAGTCTGCACCTAATCAGGAGCCCTAATCCTGGTTTATCCTAATTATAGCCCCTGCCCTTGCACTTCCCTCTCGGGATTAGCTGGACACCGAGATGGTGCCCACCCCAAGGGCACTCAGGAGCTCTGAATCAGGGGAGAAACGGGATAAAAATGGGATAAAAAGAATGGGAGCCCCAAACTCCTAAAACACAGGGTTTGTGACCATTCCCATTTTCTAGGATGATCCCAGCCCTTTATCCATAGGAGGGCCCGATGAGGATGTTCCTTTTCTTGGGGAACACTTGAACAGAACCCAAGGATTCTGGAGCTCCAAACCCCCGGATAAATGGGATAAACATGGGACAAATCCCCCAGAATGGGAACCCCACACCCCTAAAACCTGGGGTTTGTGTCCATTCCCATTTTCCAGGTTGATCCCAGCCCCTTACCCGTAGGAGTGCCCGATGAGGATGTTCCTTTTCTTGGCATAACGCTTGAACACGGCCCTCATGTCCTCGGCCAGCGCGTAGAAGGTGTAGGCGGCGGCCACGGGCGGCGCCGAGCTGCAGCCGTGCCCCGCCAAGTCCGGCGCCACCACCTCGTAGCCCAGCTTGGAGAAGAACTCCAGCTGCTCCTTCCAGATGTCCAAAGAGCCTCCAACCCCGTGGATGAAGAACAGCACCACGTCCCCGTGCGTGCCCTTGCAGCTGGTGATGCGCTTCTTGCAGTCCACCGTCACCACCCTCTTGGGCTTGCGCTTGCGGCGCTTGGCGGCGACACCGGCGGGCTCCGGCGCTCCCGGCTCGCCGTTGGCCTCGGGCACGGGGCACGGCGGGCACCGCCGCGGGCTCCGGGCGCTCTCGGGGCGCGAGGCCTCGGCCAGGTTCTCGATCAGCAGCTGCCCGTTGCGGTAGAGCGTGATGCGGCGCTGGCAGCGCACGGCGCCGCGCTCGGGGGACGATCCCGGGAATTCCGGGGGCCCCGGGCGCTCGGGAGCGCTGTGGTGGATGCGCAGGATCCGGCCGGGTTTCACCTCCAGGAAGGTGAAGCCATCGCTGGACTCAACGCTGTCCAGAGGCCCCACGGCGTTGGGGGTCTTGCCCAGCAGGCAGCAGAGGAAGCCGTCGGTGATGCTGGTCAGCATGGTGATGCCTGGGGAAATGGGGGAAATTGTGGGAAAAAACTGGGGAAAATGTGGGAAAACTGAGGGGAAATGGGGGAAAATTGGGGAAAATGGGGGCAAAAAGTGAAAAAATGGGGGAAAACTTGGAGAAGTGTGGAAAATAGGGATTCAGCCCTGGTTCCAGCAGTTGGGGACCTGTCAGTGATGCTGGTCAGCACTGTGATCCCTGGAAAATGTGGAAAAATATGGGAAAATGTCTGAAAACAAGGAAGACCACGGGAAAGCATGGAAAAATGTGGAAAACCAGGGAAAAACACGGAAACATGGACAATTCCCCATCCTGTTTTTTTCTGGGTCACATCTCTGTCCCCAAGCCCTGAAGTTCCCGTCACAGCCCTTGGAAAAGGGATTTATTCTGGCTGAAAGAAAAAACCTAGGGGAAAAAAAACCTGTTTGGAAGAGAAAATTCCCTTTTCCCAATAAATGTGGAGCACCGGGAAGCTCCAGCCCAGGGAATTCATTATTTATCCCACAAAGATAAATATTTATCCCATAAAATTGAAATATTTATTCCATTAAATATAAATGTGGCTGTGGTCAGAAGCAGCATCCGAAGTGGGAATTAAAATTTAATTAAAATCTCTCCACAAAATAAACTAAAGAATGTGGGGTGTGGGATTATCCAGGCTGTTCCCAAAGCTCGCTGCTGGAGTTGAAATCTTGGGATTTTGGGAATATTCCGGGAAAAGCTGGTGAGAATGGGGGCACGGAGGTTGGGAATGGGTTAATTATGGCGAAGGGAAAACGAACATGGTGAATTATTGATGGCAGCGGGAGGAGAGAGCGGGATCCAAGCGCTGATCCTGCAGGATCCTGATCCCAGATCCCATTCCTGCAGGATGCTGATCCCATTCCAGCGGGATCCAATCCCATTCCTGCGGGATAGGGATCCCAGTTCCCATTCCTGAACGATCCCAGGTCCCATTCCTGAACGATCCCAGGTCCCCTTCCTTCAGGATCCCAGGTCCCATCCTTGCGGGATCAGGATCCCAGTTCCCATTCCTGTGGGATCAAGATCCCAGATCCCATTCCTGCAGGATCCCAGTTCCCTGGACTCCTGGATTCCTGGATCCCCACATTCCTGGATCCCCAGACCCGTGGATTCCCAGATTCCCGGAGTCCCAAATTCCTGGATCCCCAGATCCCAGATCCCGGATCCCTGGCTCCCGTCTCCCACCTCCCCCGCGCTCGGTGCCCGGAACATCCAGGGAGGAAAGGCTGGAACAGGATCCCGATGGATGCGGGAATGGCGCCGGTTGCCATGGAAACGGGATGGGGGGATTATCCCGACCCGGCTCCTTCCCAGCCCCGCTCTGGCTGCCCGAGGGATCCCGGGAATCCGGGAACCTGGGAAATCAGAAATGTGGGAATATGGGAATTTGGGAATCTGGGTATCCGGGAATCCGGGGATCTGGGAATCTGGGAATCTGGGAAATCAGAAATGTGGGAATATGGGAATTTGAGAATCTGGGAGTTCGGGAATCCTGGAATTGGGGAATTCAGGAATCTGGGAATTCAGGAATTCGGGATTTTGGGAATCCAGGATTTTGAGAAATTGGGAATCTGGGAATTTGGGATTTCAGGAATTCAGGATTTTGGGAATCCAATGAATCCAATGCCTCTTATGTAAGGCTGGGAATGGAAATGAGGCAGGAATGGCAGGATCGGGCAGAGAGATCCTGGAGCCAGAGAGATCCAGCCTTGGGATCCTGCCTTGGGATCCTGGCACCGGGAATGGCACGGGGGACTCGGGAGCAGGAATAGGAACCAGGATTTGGAACCAGGAGCCTTTGGGATCAGGATTTGGGATCAGGGTTTGGGATCTGGGTTTGGAATCAGGCACTGGAACCAGCACTGGAGCCAGTCCAGCCTCTCCCTCCACCTCGGGCAGGTTTTCCCAAAATTCCGGCCGAAATTCCAGCGGGATCGGACCCCCCTCCCCCCCAGCAATCCTTCCCCGCCGTTGCATCACGAGGGGGGGCAAGAAGGAACGAAGGAATGAAGGAAGGAATGAAGGAACGAAGGAATGAAGGAAGCTTTTCCCCGAGCTGGTTTTCCAGGATAATTCCCCTCCTTCCCCCCCTCCCTGGCGCACCTGCACAAATCCGGGCTTTTCCCGGCTCCTCTCTGCCCCACAACATCCCAACCCCCCTCGCATCCCAGATTTTGTTTTCCCGACGGGAAAAATTCCCGCATTTTTGGGTCATCCCCACCCCCACCAGCACCTCGGGCTCCAGGACATTCCCGCAGCCCCGGGGGGGTAAAAAAGCGCCGCTCACCTCATCGATGGCCCAGGGGCTCCGGGGATGCGGGAGGAGGGAAAAATCCTGGAAGAATCCTTGCGCAGGATTCCCGGTGCGAATCCTGGAATTGCGCAGGATTCCCGGTGCAAATCCTGGAATTGCGCCGAGTTCCCGGTGCAAATCCTGGAATTCCGCAGAATTCCCGGTGGAGAGGCGGAGCAGGGCGGTGAGAATCCCGATTTTTTTTTTTCCCAGGCGTTTTTGGGGGGGCGGGAGGGAGCGAATTCCTTCAGCCCCCCCCGAAAATTCCCCAAAACGCCCCAAATTGCCCAAATGCCCCCGACTGCCGCCCGTGCCCGCTCCGGGGGCGCTCCGGGCTCGTCCTTGGAGCGGTCGCCATGGAAAAGGCAAAGCCCGAAGAGCTCCGGAGGGGCGGGACCGCGGCTGATGGACAGGGACAGAGAGGACAGGGACAGAGCGAGGGACAGGGATGGGGACAGGGACAGGGGACAGGGACAGGATGGGACAAGGACAGAGGTGGCATTTGGGATGGAGTGGTGACACTGTGGTGCTTGTGGGGTGGCAAAGGGGGCGAGTGTGGCAGTGCCATGAGGGTGGCAGTGCCACAAACATGGCAGTGCCACCAACGTGTCACATGTATGGTAGTGCCATGAATGTAGCAGTGTCCCAAACCCATCAGTGCCACCAAGGTGTCACACGTGTGGCAGTGTCAGGGGTGTGGCAGTGCCACCCCCAGGAGGCTAAACACCAAACCAGGGCTGAGTTTTGGGTTTATTTTCCAAGATTTTGGGCTCGGGGAGGGTTGAGCCACATCCCCTCATTCCTGCCGGGCCACAAAAACCAGGAGGGAAAACCCTGGAGCTGCTCCTGCTCTTGGGCTGGGATTGATCCCAAAAAGGAAAATCCTGGAATTGTCTGGCTTGGAAGGACCTGAAATCCCACCCAGTCCCATCTTGGACCATCCCAGGCTGATGCCACCTTTCCTTGGACATTCCAGGGCTGAAGCAGCTCAGCTGCTCTGGGAATTCCTTCCCAAAATCCCACCCGAATCTTCCTTTTCCCATCCCAAATCCATTCCCTGGCTCCTGTCCCTCCATCCCTTGTCCCAGGTCCCTTTCCAGCTCTCCTGGAGCCCTTTCAGGCACTGAGAGTGACTTCATCGCCCTGTCGCGACATCCTGGGGGACAACTGACAGCCCCCGAGGCGACAAGGCCTCGGGTGCAGTGTGCGCCGTTGCCATGGTAATTCTGCCACGACCCCCGAGAGGACTACAACCCCCATCAGCTCTTGCGGCGCAGCGCCGCTGTGATTGGCTGGGAGGACGGAGCCAATGGGAAGCGGCGTTGTTGGCGGGCGGAGCAAAATGGCGGCGCTGGGCCCGGTGTGGGCGCGGGCCGGGGGTCGCAGGTACCAGGAGGGGAAAACTCAACTTTAAAATTCCAAATTTATCCTTTATTTCCCTTTTCTCACTCCTTTCTCTGCTTTAATTTCCCCCAAGTTTTTCCCTGCTGCGAGGTTTTCCCTTCCCGCTGCTCCCAAGCGCTCTGGAGCCTCTTGCCGGGACTTCCAACACCGCCGTTCTCTGCCGCATCCCGGTCCCAGCGTGGAATTTCCGACAAATCCGTGGAAAATCCCGGGGGAACGAGTACCAGCCCAACAACTGGAAGCGGAAGAAGACTCACGGCTGGATCAAACGGATCAGTACTCCCGGCGGGGTCGCCGTGATCCTGCGGCGGATGCTGAAGGGCAGGAAATCCCTGAGCCACTGAGGGAGCCCCGGAATTCTCCGGGAATTCTTCTCTGGGAATTCGGGATGAGCCCGCCGGGCCCTGGAGGGAGTGCCCAGCCCCGCTGGCCCTGTTATCCGTGCCCCTGACGGGTTTGAGGCGCGGCTGCTGCTTCGGTTATTAAATTATCCTCGCGTTTCCCATGTGTTTATTCCAGCTTTTAAAATTTTGTTTGTTTATAAACGTGGGAATGTGGAGTGTTTTGAAATCCCAGCGTGTCTCCTGCGTTAATTAGGGTGGGGAATTTAACGAGGAGGGGGAATCTGCCGCGTTCCAGGGCACATATTTGGGAAAGTTGGGGGTGCGGAAATTAGGGGTGGAATTCAGGTTTTTTCACTCATCAGCGCCTCTGCCCCATCATCTGGGCTCCTGATTCCACCATCACCTCTGGGATGGGATATAGGGAAGGAATTCTCCTCTTTTTCCCGCGCTGCTAATGAGCCTACACTTAATGAGCCGCCCCTTAATTACAGAGCGGACTCGCCGTCCAAACTACAACTTCCAGCATGCCCCGCGCCGCGCTCCATCCGGGTCTTCCAGCACTGCACCCGCCCCGCCCTTCCGCGCGAGCACTTCCTGCCTCAACCGAGCCCTCCCATCGATGATTGACAGACGCGGCGCCCAATAGAAACGCAGCGTTCCGCGGCGCGGACCAATCGGCGCGCGCGAGGCGGGCGGCCATGACAGTGGGCGGGCCGGGGCGGCTCCTCCTGGCTGGTGGCGGCGAAGATGGTACGTGAGCCCCCCGCCGCAATGGCGGCCCCGCGCCGGCCTCGGCGGGCCGCCCGCGGCTCCCGGGACCCGCCGCGCCGCCCGCGGCCTTCACGGTACCGCAGCGGCGGCGCCGCGGCCGCTTCCGGCCTGTAGGGCCCGCGCCCGCTGCGGCCTGGGCGGGGGTGGCGGGGCTGAGGGGGTGTGAGGGGTTCTCGCTCTCAGGGGTGGCGGTGAGGGGAGCTCCGGGCGGGGTGCGGGGGATTTGGGGGATGAGGGGAGCCCCAGGGCGGGCTGCGGGGGATTTGGGGTGAGAGGGAGCCCCAGGGCGGGGTTTGGGCTCGCGATGAGGTTGGAGGACCCCAATATGGGTGGGGGGCATCCTAAGGGGGGGCCGAACCATTTCTTTTGGGTGAGGGGTGACTTAAAGTTGGGCAGAACCATTTGTTTCATCGGGGGGGTTAGGGACCACCCTAAAATGAGGCTGAACCATTTGTTTTATGGGGAGGCTGAGGGGTCACAGCCTTGGGACCACCCTGGGAATTTTATCTGGGGAAGGAAAGTTTGGAGCTGCCCAAATCTCCCGGCAATTTCCCTTCAGCCCCTGGAATTTGGGGTCGGTTGGACCGACACCAATTCCTGGGGTTCCCTGAGGGGTTTTTGGGAATTGTGGCTCCCCAGGCAGATTTCCTGAAAGGGCTCCCGGTGTACAACAAGAGCAACTTCAGCAGGTTCCATGCGGATTCCGTCTGCAAGGCTTCCGTGAGTGCTCTGGGGCCCCATTCCTTAATCCTGGAATTCCCCAATCCTGGAGTTCCCCCGTACCAGACTTCCACAATCTCAGAATTCCCCAATCTTGGGATTCCCCAATCCTGGAATTCCCCAGTCTTGGAATTCCAAAATCCTGGAATTCCCGAGTCTCGGAATTCCCAAATCGTGGCATTTCCCAGTCCTGCAGTTCCCCAGTCCCAGAGTTCCTGAATCCTGGAATTCCCCAATCCCGGAATTCCCAAATCCCCCCATTCCCCATTTCCATCCCGTCCCTGAGTCTCTCTCTCATTCCCATTCCAGAACCGCCGGCCCTCGGTGTATTTGCCCACCAGAGAATTCCCCTCGGAACAGAGTGAGTCCTGCTGGGAAAATCCCAATTTTTATCGGCTCCACCGGGGACATCCCACAGTCCCAGCTCCCCCTCTTCATTCCCAGTATTCCCTCTCTTCATTCCCAGCTTCCCCCCTTTTAATTCCCATTTTCCCCCTTTTAATTCCCATTTTCCCCTTTATTCATTCCCATTTTTCCCCTTTTTTATCCTCAATTTCCCCCCCAACAATTCCCAATTTTTCCTCCCTCCTTACCCATTGAAATCCTCCTAAAACCTGATTTTTTTTCCCCTGTTTTTCCTTGGAATTATTCCCAGTTATCGTGACAGAGAAGACAAACATCCTCCTGCGCTACCTCCACCAGCAGTGGGACAAAAAGGTGACTTTTGGGATCCAAATTTCCCAATTTTTCTGGGAATTTGGGATGGATTCATTCCAGGAATCGTTCCCGTAGGAATGGTGAACGTGGGAATTCCAGGCAGGAAATCCTGGGGTGGTTCTGGCCCTGGAAATGAGGGGAAATTGGGATTGAGGGGGAGTTGTGGTTGGGAATTTGGGAATGCTGGGATTTGGGAACTCTGGGATTGGGAATGCTGGGATTTGGGGACTCTGGGATTGGGAATGGTTGGCTTTGGGAATTACGGGCTTGTGAATGTTGGGGTGTGGGAATGTTGAGAATGGGAATACCGGGGAGTGGGAATGTTGGGATTTGGGAGTCTGGGGATTTAGGAATCCCAGCATGTGGGACCACCGGGGATCCCCGTGCTGGGAGTCTGCCCTGGAATTGCCCTCGGATTTCCCTGGAACCCCCCAAATTCCCTGAAAGCCCCTAAGCCCCCCGGCACGTCCCGAGGTGCCCCGATGGCCCCGGCCCTGCCTGAGCCCCGGCGCTGTTGCAGAATGCGGCCAAGAAGCGGGAGCAGGAGCAGGGCGAGCTCGAGGGGGAGAACTCGGCCCCGCCGCGCAAAATCGCCCGGACCGGCAGCCAGGACATGACCGAGGACACTTAAAAACCCTGGAGCTGGGAATTCCCAAGGCTCTTCCCGCTTTTTGTCACCTCCCGCACCCCTCCCCTGACCCGCTGGGAATTCCCAGGATCCGCCCTATTTATTTGGGATTTGCCTCGTGCCTGGTTTTTGGTTTGTATTTATGGGGTTTTTATGGAGAGGGAGAGTTGTTCGTCCCTAATTCCCAAAATTCCTGGTTTTTCTGGGGTATCCCAGAATTCCTAATTCCCAAAATTCCCCTTTTTCCTGGGATTCCTGGGTGCTGTTCCCTGGGAAAGCCCAGAATTCCTAATTCCCCAAAATTCCCCCTTTTCCTGAGATTCCTGGAATTCGCTCCTGAGATCTCCCAGGAGAGCTCATTTCCAAAAATCCACTTTTCCTGGGATTTATTCCCTTCCCAAAATTCCCTTTTTCCTGGGATTCCTCGGATCTGCTCCTTGTGAAATTCCAGGACGACTCCCTCCCCTTTTTTTTTCCCCCCAAAATTCCACTTTTTTTGGGATTCTTGGGATCTACTCCCTGTGATACCCCAGAATTCCTCATTCCCAAAACGCCACTTTTTCTGGGATCTCCTCCCTTCCCAAAAATCCCCTTTTCCCAGGATTCCCCACATCCCCTCCCTGTAAAATTCCAGGATTTTTTTCCCTTCACAACCCCCTGGAGAAATTCCCAGGAATCCTTTGGATATTCCCAATCCAACCACAACTGTGAGGCCTTTCCCATTTTTCCAGAAAATTCCCAACCCCTTCCCAGGCTCTGATCATGGCTGGAGCCGATCCCTGGGAATTTAGATCCTGGGATTTTTTTGGGGCTGGATCCACGGAATTTTTTTCCCCACCCTCTGGAAAAGCCGGGAATGTCGATCCTTAAATCCCGATTTTCTCCCGGGAATCGCCGGATCCTCTCCGAGGGATCACTCGGAATTCCCAGGACTGGGAGCGGCCCCGGATCTGGGAGAATCCTGGCTGGAATTCCAGGAATCCAGGATGGAATCTGGGATCTGGGCTGGAAGAATCCAGGCTGGAATTCTGGGAATCCAGGCTGGAATTCCAGAATCCAGGCTGGAAATCCGGGAATCCAGGATGGAATTTGGGATCTGGGCTGGAATTCAGGAATCCAAGATGGAATTCAGGATCTGGGCTGGAAGAATCCAGGATGGAATTCAGGAATCCAGGATGGAAGAATCCAGGATGGAATTCCGGGAATGCAGAGCCCATCCCTCGCTCCCCAAATCCTCGGGATTGAGACAATTCCCAGCCGCCTTTCCAGGACCATCCAGAGGCTCAGGATCCACGGAGAACCTCAGGAAAGGACGGGATGATCCCAAAATTCCAGCTGCTTTTCCATGAGGAGCTGATTCCCACAGGAATCCCGGAATTCGGGGCCCTTCTCCCTCCCCTTGCTGGGAAACCCACAGGGTTTTTTCCATGAGATTCCCAGAATCGATTCCCAGCTCTGACTCTGGGAGGGTTCCTGCTGCCCCTTTTCCCGGAAAATCCCGGATCCGCCCTGGGAATTCCGGGCTGGGAAGGGCCAGAGCTCCTCCAGAAGCTCGGGAGGAGCAGGACACGGCTCCGGTCGGAATTCCCAGAATTTGGGACTGGAATTCAATCCAGAACTTTGGCTCTGCCTCGTTTTTCCCAATTTTTTTTTTTTGTTTTGTTTGTTTGTTTTGTTTTGGTTGGTTGGTTTTTTTATGGAAGCGACTTTGGAATTCCTGGAATGCGGTGTTGGGGGGGTGGGGGGAGGGGAAGGACAAGCGGAATTCCCGGGATTTTGGTTTGGTTTGGGATTTTCAGCTGGAGAACTCTGGGAGGAGCCGGATTTGAGGAATCTCTGGGAGGAATTCCGGGGGTTCCAGGAGAGGAGGGCGGATCCCGGGGTTCCCGAGGCTCGGGAATGTTGTTCCATTAAAGAGTTGGCACTTCCTGCTGGAATTCCCACTTTTCTTCCCCCTGGGAAAGGGGGACGGGAGCCTTGGGAATGGGAATTTATCCCGGGAAAAGCAGGGCTGGGGAATTCCGGGGGGAAAGGTCGGGATTGGCCGGAGCTGGGCGGGTTTGGGATTGCCGGGGGTTCCGGGTCCATTCGGAATTGGGGATCCCTGGATTTGGGGCTCTCATCCCATCCCTGGATTGGGGATCCCCCTTCCCCCTCTCCTCCAGCTCATTCCCAGCTTTTCCTGGAATTCCTGGAGCTCTGTCTCCTCCTTCCCTTGATCTGATTCAGGAAATCTTCTCGAAAATTCCCGGAAAAATCCCCCCTGCCACTCCCTGGTGCCTTCCCACCCAGAATTCCCAAACTCCACCATTTTTCTGGCGGTTTTTGCCCAGTTCCCACCTCTCCCTCCTCATCCCGGGATTTCCTGTGTCCTGCAGCTCCCAAATCCCAGGATTCCCTCCCCAGACACCCCCAGGACTTGGAATTCTTGGAATTCCTGGAATTCCCAGAGCCCAATCCTGAATTTTTTGGGAATTTTCCACCCAATTTTGTCCTTTCCCAAACCCCAGCAAGCTCTGTCATTCCCAGCTCCGGGATTTTCCCTTCAAATCCTTCAATTTCCACCCAAAATCTGGGATCACAGAGCTGGAAAAACCTGGATTTTCCCAAAATTCCTGCTAAAATCCCAGGTATCCACCGGAATTCTTTTTCCAGGAATTTCTTTTCCAACAATTCCACGTTTTTATCAGCAAGAAATTGATGGAATTTCAAGGATTTAATCGGATTTTTCCATCCTTTCCTGGATCCTGGAGATATTTGGATCTTGTTTTCCAGAGGTTGGGAATGCTGCTCTGGATCCTGGAGCCTAACTCAAATATTCAAAAATGCAAATGAGATGCAAATGAGCTGTCGAAATAAATTTCTTTTTTTATTGCGGATTTTACAAAAATAAATTAAAAATAAATAAATTAAACCCCCCCTCCCCCCCTCCCTTTCCTTCCTTTCCTGGAATTCCCACGGAATTCGCACTCCAAGGAAAAAAATCAAAGGAAAAACCATTCCCGAATATTTCCCTCCTCCGAAATTCCAGGGATTTTTTTGTTGTTTTTTTGGGAAAGGGATGAAAATTCCCCAGATTTGGGGCTTTTCCCTCTGGGAATTCTCCACTCCAGAGGGAAATGGGATCAAAGCCATTCCCGGGGATTTTTGGGAAAATCCCATGGGATGAGGGAGGGAGAAGGAGCTGGAGCCTCCCGGAATTCCCAACGTTCCCAGGGCTCCCTTTTCCTGGGATTTGCCCCAGGATCTCTGGAGGATATTCCAGGCCAGGGCAGGTGGGGGGATTGGGATCCTCCTGCATCCACGTTCCCAAATCTCCTTCCCTGTTCCCAAATCTCCATCCCTAATTCCCAAATCTCCACCCCCATTCCCCAACTCCATCCCTAATCCTGGTCTCCATCCCCAATTCCCAAATTTTCCTTCCCAATCTCCATCCCCAGTTTCCACATTCCCAAATTAACCTTCCCGATCGCACCTGGATTTTTCCCGCCCCGGAGTGGGAACATGGAACTTTTCCCTTTTGGGAATCCCGGATTTTCCTGCCCTTATTGCTCTGGAAAATGGCTTCGATTTGGGATCCCAAAAAAAACCCCAAACCCCAAAATTCCATGGATTCTTTGACATTCCATGGATTCTTCGAAAGAGGAGGGGGGAAAAAACCCCAAAAAAATTCCAACCTGATTTTTGGGAAGAGGGAACAGGAGGGGACTTGGGACCACTCCCCCCCTCCCCCCCTTTTCCCAGCTTTTCCCTCTTTTTCCAGATTTTTCCCTTTGAGAATGGATGTCCCCAAGTGCCACCAACCCCGCGAAGCGAAGCAGGGAAAGGAGGGAGCGCATTCCCAGCATGGATCCCGCTGGATCCGGGGAATCCCGGGAAATCCAGGAATTCCTTCCCGCGGCAGCAGCGAAGCGGCTCCCACCCCCTCCCCATTGTCCCTCCCCGTGTCCCCTCCTTGTCCCGCCCTTTATTGCGACAGAATTCCAGGGAATTCGGAGCTGGAGCCGGGAATGTCCCGCTGGGATTTGGGATTTGGGAGAAGCGGCACCGGCGGCGGGATCGGGGTTGGGATTTAGTGCAAGAAACGCTGCCCATGCACGGCATTCCCGGGAAATGCGCCCCATTCCCGGCTGGAAAACTCCCGGGAAGGATCTCCGGGATTTGGGATTGGGATCCGGGATTGGGATCCGGGATCCAGGCGGGGGGAGCGGGCGGAGCAGGGTTGAGGCACGGCTGAATCGGGCTCGTCCCGGGGTTCCCGGGAATTCCAGGAGCGGGATGTGGCTCCCGGAGGATCCAAAGGCTGGAGCGCGGCGTCTCTGGGGGAAACGGAGTCTGGGAGAGTTCGGGATGCTCCAAAAACCGGGATAACCGCCCCGGTTCCCATGGAAACCGGGATAACTGCCCCCGGTGAGCCTAGGAAGTTTCGGGACGCTCCAGCCGCACCGGGCTGTCCCGGCCGTCCCGGGATACCTCGCGCCGTGCCCGGGTACCGGGACTCCGCCGCCCGCCGCTCTCAGGCCTCCCCCGCCGTTCCCCCGCGGCTCCCGGGGCGGTGGCGGCGGCTCCGCGCGGCGGGGCCGGGGGGACCGGGGGGACACGGGGGGACGCAGCCCGGGGGACCGGGGGCACACGGCGGGGGGACGCAGCACAGAGCACCGGAGCGGAGCGCGGCGCTGGCGGCTCCCGGGCCGGCCCCGCGGGCGAGCGGCGGCGAGAGGCTCCCGACGGCCACGGCCGCTCGCAGCAGGGACCGGGCGGCCCCCGGAACCGCCGGAACCGCCGGAGCCCCGCTCAGAACTGGGCACCGCCGCCCTCCTCCTCCTCCTCCTCCTCCGCCCGGTTCTCCGGTTCCCCGTGCCCCCGGAGCCCCGCTCAGAGCCCGGCACCGCCGCTCTCCTCCCCCGCCCGCCTCCTCCCGACCCCCCGGAGCCCCCGGTCAGAGCCGGGCACCGCCGCCCTCCTCCTCCGCCCGGTTCTCCGCTTCCTCCCTCGCCCCTTCCTCGTTGAGATGCGACTTCCCGGGCCCCGCGTCCGCCGAGGGCCCCGCGCGGGGCTGCGGGGACGCTCCGGCCGCGCCCCCGTTGGCACCGAGCCCTTCGGACTTGCCGAAATTAAAGAGCTTGCCGGGGTTGAAGGGCTTGGTGGGCGACTGCACCTTCTCGGTGCCCGCGTCCCGCTTAGTCTCGGGCGATTTGAGGAATTTGAAGCTCAGGAACCCCGGCAGTTTGTTCTCGCTGCCCGTGGGCGACTGCGGCGACCTGGCGGTGGCGGTGCCAGCCGCGCCGGTGCCCCCGGACAGGAACTTGCCCTGCAGGGGGATGATCTGCTTCAGCTTCATCACGTTGTTGGTGGCCAGCAGCGAGCTGGGCCGCTTGGGTTTGTCGGGGCCGTGCGCGGAGGAGCCGCCGGAGCTTTTCCCTTTGGCCTGGCCCTTGTCGTGCGCCGGGTCCTGCCCGGTGGCCTCGGCCTTGGCGGCCTCGTCGCGGGCGGGGTCGCGGTCGCGGCGCGCCTGGAGCTCGGCGTGGCGCTGCCGCTCCTCCTCCTCGCGCTTGCGGCGCTGCTGCTGCTGGAAATGGTGCTGGGCCTGCCGCTCGTGCTTCTGGGGACAGCGACAGGGGACATCGAGGGGACACCGGGAATGGGGCAGGGCCCGGGGACATCAGGAGGACACAGCCAGGAGACATTGAGGGAACAGAAACAGGGGATGAGGAGGGGACACCAGGACAGTGAGGGGACACCGGGCATGGGGTGCAGCCGGGGGACACAGCCCCGGGACATCGAGGGGACAGAGACAGGGGACACCAGGCATGGGGACACAACAGGGGACACATCTAGGGACACATTGAGGGGCACATTCAGGGGACACTGGCCATGGGGACACCCCAGGGAGCCCAGTGGTGCTGGGGACACCTTGGGGACACCGTGGGGACACCTTGGGGATGCCATCCCAGCAGGACCCACCTTGAAGGCCTCGCGGCGCTGGTACTCCAGCTTGGCCATCTCCTCGGCCACCCAGGCGGGAATGTCGGGAATGGCCACCTGGATCACGTACTTGAGGAGCAGGGCAAAGTGCTGGAGACATGGGGACACAGGGACACAGCTCAGCATTCCCGGCATTCCTGAAATCCCATCCTTCCACCCCAAAATCTGCCCCTTCTATCCAAAAATCCAGAATTTCCACCCCAAAATCTGGCCCAGTGTCCAGGGAATATATTAATTAATTGTCCATGGATTTGAGTACCCAGAGCTGTGAGTCCCCCGGGATTTCAGTACTCAGGGATTTGAATATACAGGGATTTGAGTACCCAGGGCTGTGAGTACCATGGAGTGTGAATATCCAGGGGTGTGAGTACCCAGGGATTTCAGTACCCAGGGATTTCTGGCCCATCCAGCCCAGAACTCCCCCGGCCATCCCCACCCTTGGCCATCACCTCCCTGAGCCATGACCCAACCTGGGCACCCCAAACCCCATTGGGGTGACCCTGGGGTGACCCCAAACCCCAGCAAGGTGACCCCAAACCCCATTGGGGTGACCCCAGCCCCGCTGCCCCCAGTACCTCGAGCACCACGACGCAGACGATGGCAGCCTGGGGGCTGAGCCCCGGGAAGAGGCGCTGCAGCTGCCCGCACTGAGCGATCAGGTAGCAGTTAACCACGATGGCCAGGACGCCCATGGCCTCCATCACCTTCTGCAGGACAGATTTGGGGCATTAATTAAAGGGTTTTTGGTTAATTTGTTAATTAGTGTGGTGGTTAATGGGGATCACACTGAGCCGATGCTGTCCCTGCTGTCCCCGTGTCCCTTGTCCCACCTGCCAGTGGCCGATGCTGTCTCTGTGTCCCCATGTCCCCAGCACCTGCCAGTGCCCGATGCCGTCCCCTCTGTCCCCATGTCCCTGCTGTCCCCACTGTCCCCAGCACCTGCCAGTGGCCGATGCTGGCCACGCGCTGCCCGAAGGGTCTCTGCAGGCCCGTGCAGAGCTTGAAGGCGTCGCTGCGGATCTCCAGGACGTTGTTGAGCAGCGCGCAGGCAGCCGCCAGCGGGAAGGCTGAGGAGAAGAGCACCACGTAGCCAAACTGGATGAACATCTCCTGGTAGTCCTGGAAGGTGTCCTGAGGGGACAGCGGGGACAGTGCCCAGGTCACCGGGGGCTCCGGGGTGGCTCCTGATGGGACAGCTTGGGAAGGGACATTCTGGGAGGCCACTGGCTATGGGGACACCTCATGGAGCCCTGGGACACCCTGGGCATCCTGATGGCCACAGGGACACCTCAGGAAGGGACACTTTGGGAGGCCACCAGACACAGGGACACCTCAGGGGACCCATGGGACACCTCGGGTCCTGATGGCCACAGGGACACCTCAGAGAGCCCCAGAACACCTTGGGGAACCCAGCAGGTCCAGGGACATGGGGACAAAGGGGACAGAAGCCACCCACCTCGTACTTCTTCATGCAGCTCTCCACCTCAGCCTGGGTCAGCTGCGTGGAGTAATCCTCCTCGGGGGGGTCAATCCACGAGGCGCGGTTGCGCTTCCTCCCTTCCTCCTCGCCCTCCTCCTCCTCCCTCCTCCTCCTCCTCGCCAGCACCGCCGGCTCCGCCGCCCTGCCGGGGCTGCCGGGCTGCGCTTCGGCCTCCTCCTCCTCCTCGCAGAGCTCGAACACGGCCGCGGGGTCCATGCCCTTCTCCACCATGGTGGGGCTGCCCTCCTCCAGGAAGGGCTCGTCCTCGGTGCCGGCGGGCTCGGCGCGGCGCTCGGCGCGCTCGATGAAGCTCACCTTCTTCAGCTTCAGCCCGCAGTCCAGCGCGCTCTCCTCCTCCGAGTCCGAGCCGCGCCGCTCTTCCTCCCCTCCCGCCTCCTCCTCCTCCTCCTCGGGCACGCCGCAGCCCCCGTTCAGGCATTTCTTCTCGCCGCGCTGTCCCTCCGCAGGGGCGTGCGGGGGCGGCCGCGGGGCGAGCAGGCGGAGCAGGGCCCGCCCGAGCTCCCGCAGGCTCCGCACGCTCAGCTCGCCGCGCCGGAGCCGCCGGTACAGGTGCGGCTGCGACACCTCCCGCACGTTCTGCAGGAACTGCCGCGTGATCAGCAGCGTGGCCAGCATCTGCGGGGACACGGGGGACACGGGGGACGCGGTGTCACCCCCCGCCGATAGCCGGGGATTGTCCCCATGGCCTGGCCCCGTGGGGCTCCTGGTGCTCCTGGGGTGTCCCTGCTTCTCCTGTGGGGTCGCTGCTCCTCTCTGATGTCCCCTCAGTGTCCCTGCTCCCCTTGTGGTGTCCCTGTTCCCATTGTGGTGTCCCTGCTCCTCTCTGATGTCCCCTCAGTGTCCCTGCTCCCCTTGTGGTGTCTCTGATGTCCCTTTAGTGTCCCCACCCCTCCTGTGATGTCCCCGTGCTGTCCCTGCTCCTCTCTGCTGTCCCCGTGGTGTCTCCACCCCTCCGTGTCAGCCCCCAGTGTCCCCTCTGCTGTGACCCCCGCCCACCACTGTCACCCCCATGGGGCGGGGCCGCAGCAGCGCCACTGCCACCCTGGGCGGGTTGGGTGTCCCCTGGGTGTCCCTTGAGTGTCCCCTGCGTGTCCCCTGGGTGTCCCCACGCTCCTACTTTGGATACTCCCAGGGTCCAGCAAAAGCGCAGGAGGCGCCTGAGGAAGATGAGGGAGAGGTGGAGGTGGAGGAGGATGGAGGGGAGCAGAGCCTCCCGGAGCTGCCGCGCGAGGCTCTGCGACAGGGACAGGATGAGCAGGAGCTGCGGAAGGGACACAAAAGGGACACAAAAGGGACAACACGGCGACACCACACAGGGATAGAGACACGCTGTGAGCCACGCTGGGCGGGGACACAGGCGGGGACACCCGGAGGGATGCGGTGGTGGTGGAGGGGGTGGAGGGGTGCTGGGGACACTGTGGGGACATCGGCCCCGCTGGCAGGGTCCCCTCACCTCCTTGAGGCGCTCCATGTCCTTGAGGTAGAATCCGATGTAGAAAAGGCTCAGGTAGGAATTGACGAACTGGAACTGGCGGTGACAGTGGGGTGGCACCTCGGTCACCTCGGTGTCCCCTCAGCGCTGGCTGAGACCTTCTGCTTCCCTCCGTGTCCCCTCTGTGACACCTCCAGCCCCAGCTGTCACCTCTGCAGCTGCCAGGAGCCCTCCGGTCCCCTCTGTCCCTCCTGGACCTCTCTGGTCCCCTCTGTCCCTCACCAAGAGCCCCCAGTACCCCCCAGTGCCCTCTGTCCCCTCTGTCCCCTCAGCAAGAGCTGCCAGGACCTCTCCAGTCCCTCCCACTCCCCTGTGTCCCTGATCCTGGCCCCTCCAGTCCCCCAGTGTCCCCCCCGTGTCCCCATGTCCCTGTGTGCCCCCGTGCCCCCATGTCCCCCCCATGTCCCCATGTCCCCCAGTGTCCCCTTTACCCCGTGTCCCTGTGTCCCAGTCTCCCTTCAGTGTCACCCCAGTGTCCCTGTGTCCCCGTGTCCCCTCACCAGGACCATTTTGATGATGAGGTGTTTCTCGTAGGCGCTCTGAAGCCGATAATTCTCTGCAGGGCACAGGGCGAGTCAGGGGGGCCCGGGGGTCCCAGGGCCACCCCAGGGCCACCCCAGGGCCACCGCAGGGTCCCCAGCGCACCCATGTCATTGAGCCACAAGGCCACTTTCTTGTAGATCTCGTCACAGGCAGTGACAATGACAGCCAGGATGATTTTGGGCAGGAAGCGAAGGACGCGTGGCAGCTCCTGGATGCTGAGCACCAACTCCTGTGGGGACAAGGTGGGGACAGGGACAGGAACAGGGTGGGGACAGGGATGGGGACAGGGTGGAGACAGGGACAGGGATTGGACAGGGACAGGGATGGGACAGGGACAGGGGACAGGGAGACAATCGGGGTCAAGATCAGGATCAGGAGCCGGAGCAGCACCAGCAGGAGGAGCAGTGCCACTGTCGCTGTCCCCAGAGCGGGGCCACACCTGGAGCTGGAAGCAGCCAAGCATGAGGAGGAAGACGAGGATGAGGCAGGCCAGGCAGACGGGGAGGCTGACGAGGCTCTGGAACAGGAGGCGCTTCCAGGGCGGGTAATAGAACTCCTCAGCGCTGGTCACTGGGCTGATCCGCTTGGTGCCCTGCAGGCACGGCCCGTGGCACACCCAGGGACAGGGACAGGGACAGGAACAGGGACAGGAACAGGGACAGGGACCCACGGGGCACTCACAGGGACAGGGACAGGGACAGGAACAGGGACAGGGACAGGGACAGGGACAGGGACAGGGACAGGGACAGGGACAAGAACCCCTGGGGCACCCACAGGGACAGGGACCCCACAGCCCCAGGGACCCCACAGATCCAGGGTCCCCTGCTGGGACCCTGGGGCTGGTGGCTGAGCCCCCTTCAGGAAGGGATCTGGGGGCCTTCCTGAGGAATGGGATACCCCAAAAGGAATGGGATACCCCAAAAGGAATGGGATCCCCCAAGGAACGGGACCCCCAGGAATGGGACCCCGGAAGGGAGGTGACCCCGTGCTGGTGTCTGACCCGGAACTGGGGCCGGGGCTCCTCCAGGGACTCTGCGGGGGTGTCCAGCGTCCCCCACTTGTAGGCGAACTCGGCGCCGCGGCGCTTCCACTCCTCCAGGAACAGCGTGGCCCAGATGACGTTGAAGATGGCAAAGACCACGCAGGAGATGTCCTGGCTGGTCTGGGGGACAGACGGAACCAACTGCACCAGGGTTGGTCCCCTCCCCGCCCCCACAGACCCCAAATGCAGCCCTGGGGGGTTGGGAGCCCCCCAGCCTCGAGGGAAGGGATGGGGTGGGGCATTGAGGGAAAAGGGGGAAGGAATCCATCAGGGACGGGGAGAAAACCCCACAAAGACGGATGTAAAACCCCACAAGGAAGAAAGGGAAACCCCACAAGGAAAATCCCACAAGGAGGGATGGAAAACCTCAAGGAAGGATGGAAACCCTCAAGGAGAATTGGTAAACCCCAAGGAGGGATGAAAACACTTAAAGGAGTGTGGAAACCCTCACAGAAGGATGGGAACCCCAAGGGGGTGTGGAAACCCCCCAGGAAGGTTGGGATGCCCCCAGAGTGACCCCAGAGTGACCCCAGAGTGGCCCCAGAGTGGCCCCACCTGGTCTCTGTCGGTGAAGGTGTAGAGGATGGAGCCGAACACGGCCGGGTACACCATGGCCGAGGTGTAGAAGCCCAGCCAGGCAAAGTACATGGCAATCTTCACCCCAAAATAGTCACAGATGTCATCTGGGCGGGGCACAGGAGACATCAGCGGGGCCGGGACCCCAAAACTCCACTGGGGTCACCCCAAAGCTCACTGAAGGGCTAGGGCCCCACAAACCCTCCTGGGGTGACCCCAAACCCTCCGAGCCCCCCGAAGCGCCCCTGGTCTCACCGAGGGGCTGCGCCTCGCACACCGCCTGCACCCAGGACTTCATCAGGCGCTTGAGGATCCTCTGCTCGTGCAGCGGGAACAGCTGCTGGATCACGCCCCGTGCGGCCAGCTCCGGGACTGCCACGGGGACACGGCGTCAGCGACATCGGGGACACGGGGACACGGCCCGGGGTCTCCGCTGCCACCCCGCGTGGCCCTGGGGGGGCGGGAGTAGGGGCGGGGACAATGGGGACAATGGGGACAGCTCTGTGCCCACCAGGATCCTACAGACCCCGCCCAGCACACGGCCCCAGGGATGGGGACAATGGGGACAGGGGGTCAGGGACAGTGGGGACACGGCCCGGGATCCCCACTGCCACCCTGCGTGGCCCTGGGGTGCTGGGGCTGGCACAGGGACAATGGGGACGGTGGCACGTGGGAGCTCCGTGCCACAGGGGCAGTGTCAGCAGTGTCACCGGCTGCCGTGGCACTGTCACGGGTGCCATGGCACTGTCACGGGTGCCATGGCAGTGTCAGCAGTGTCACTGGCTGCCGTGGCACTGTCGCCGGCTGCCATGGCAGTGTCAGCAGTGTCACTGGCTGCCATGGCACTGTCACAGGTGCCGTGGCACTGTCACAGGTGCCATGGCAGTGTCAGCAGTGTCACCAGGTGCCGTGGCACTGTCAGCAGTGTCATGGGTGCCATGGCACTGTCACCGGCTGCCATGGCAGTTGTTACCGGGTGCCACACTCACTGATGGGCTGGCCCTCCAGGAAGTGGATGTTGTGCAGGGACTCGCCCTGCTTGGCCCGCAGGTTCTCCAGCCAGTAGCGGATGATGCTCTGCCGCTCCTGTGGGGGACACGCTGCCATTGACCCTGTCCTTGTCACCTCCCTGACCCTATCCCCTCCCTGTCCCTGTCCCTGTCCCTGTCCCCAGTGCCAGGGGTGGCTGAATCCTCACCCAGCCTCCCCAGATCCCCATATCCCATATCCCCATATCCCAACACCCCCATATCCCTGGATTCCTGAAGTTCTGTATCCCCTATCCCTGTACCCCACATCCGGGTACCCCATGTCCCCATATCCCACACCCCGTCCCCACCTGGGAGCTGAAGAAGCCGAGCTCGTTGTCGATGTTCTCGTAGATGAAATCCTCCTCGCAGGAGAAGCCGCGGGTGCCGCCTCCGAACTCCGCCTTCACCGGCTTGCGCAGCCCCAGCTCGTCCGCCCCACGCAGCAAACTGCGGGGACAGCGTGGGGACAGTGTGGGGACATGTTGAGGACAGCATTGGGGATACACTGGGGACACTCTGGGGACATTCTGGGGACGGGCACGCACCTCTCGTAGGTGGCGGTGAGGAAGAAGGCGTAGACGCGCGTGTGCCGGTGGTGCCGCACCTGCACGATCAGCTCGGGGATGCCCAGGCGGATGTGGTTCAGCAGCCACAGCAGCGTGTGGTCATCCGTGCTGTCTGCGGGGACAGTGCCGTGTGTCCTGCCCCGTGTCACCGGCCCGGTGCCCATCCTGCCACGTGTCCCTCATCCCTGCTCCGGTGCCCCTCCATCCCTGTGTCCCTCACCCCAGTCCTGATCCTGCCATGTGTCCCTATCCCGGTCCTCATCCCTCCAGGTGTCCCTCATCCCTGTCCCCATCCTGTCGCGTGTCCCTATCCCGGTCCCCATCCATCCACACACTCCCTATCCCTTCCCACGTCCCCACCCCTCCCTGCATCCCCAATCCCTCCCCCATCCCACATCCCACATCCCACCCCAATCCCGCATCCCCAATCCCCCAATCCCCCATCCCCTCTGCCCCCTCCTGGACTCTTCCTCCCATCCCCACCCCCTCCTGCCCCGGCTATCCCGGTTTTACCGATTACATCCCAATCCCGGTTTTCCCGGTCCCACCCCACCCGATCCCGGTTTTCCCGATTACATCCCAATCCCGGTTTTCCCGGTCCCACCCCACCCGATCCCGGTTTTCCCGATTACATCCCAATCCCGGTTTTCCTGGTCCCACCCCACCCGATCCCGGTTTTACCGATTACATCCCAATCCCGGTTTTCCTGGTCCCACCCCACCCGATCCCGGTTTTCCCGATTACATCCCAGTCCCGGTTTTCCTGGCCACAGCCCAATCCCGTTCTCCCGATCACATCCCAGTCCCTGTTTTCCCGGTCCCACCCCACCCCTATCCCGGTTTTCCCGGTTTCCCGGACCGTTCCTACCCGGGAATGTCATCAGCACGTCGCAGTTCTCCGTGGGCACCGTTTTCATCCAGGCCTTGTGGGACATGATGTAGCGCCCGGCCTGGAGCAGCCGCTTCCCGAAGAGTTTATCTGCGGGGGGAGGCCGGGCAGGGATCAACCCCCGCGGGCAGCGGATCCCAGAGCGCCCCGGAGCCCCGGGCTGGCGGCGGGACGCGTCCCCGCCTGTCCCCAGCCCGGCCGTGGCACGGGGCACGGCGGTGCCACCGCCCTGGCATCGGGTTTCTCCTGCGGTAGCTCCCAAAATCGGCCCCGACAGCTGCGGGGAGGAGCCGCCAGCGCGTCCCGCCACCCCCGGCGGTGCCGAATGTCGCGGGGTGTCCCCTCGGAGCGTCCCCAAAGGCTCTCACCTCCTCCCGGAGCCCGGGCACGGAAAAGCGCAGGAAAAACGGGGATCGGGAAAAGCAGCCGGTCTCCATGGAAACCGCGCCGCCGCGCCGGGCTGCGGTGGGGACAGTCCCCAAAGCACCCCCGGGGCGCGGTGGCACCGAGGGGACACGGCCGCTGCCCCGCCCGGCGTGGCTGGGACGCGCTGTCCCCGTGCCCGGTGTCCCCAAAGCGCCGCCCGGGGAGGGTGGGGACGGGGGGGGTCCCAAAAAATCCACCCGGGGCTGGCAGGGAGGGAGGGGGCCCCCGATGGCGTGGGGACCCCGCTTGTCGCTTCCCTGCCTCAGTGTCCCCTTGTGCCTCAGTGTCCCCTCCTCGGCCCGGGATGTGGCGGTGCCCCGGGGCTGGGAAGGGCTCGGGGTGCCGGAAACCGCCCGGGAAAACAGGAAATGCCAGAGCTGCTGATGCCAAGAAGGCACCCCAAAACCGGACACTTGTGGGGCCCCCAAAACCGGACACCTCTGCTGGGACCCCCCAAACCCCGCGCCCTGACGGGCTCTGAAAGGCTCCGCTGTCCCGAGCCGAGGGTGGCACTTGAGGACAGCGCCAGGCTGCCACCCCCGCTGTGGCACCGGTCCGGCAGGCTGGGCACGGCCGTGCCCCGCCCTGGGGTGCGGGGGTGCCAGGCTGTGGGGCAATGGGGTGCCAAGGTTTGGGGGTAATGGGGTGCCAGGCTGTGGGGCAATGAGGTGCCAAGGTTTGGGGGCAATGGGGTGCCAGGCTGCTGGGGCTTTGAGGTTTAGGGGTGCTCGGGTATCGGGGTGTCAGGGCGTTGAGGGGCTGGGGTGCCCGGGTGTGGGGATGTTGGGGTATTGGGGTGCTGGGGGTATCAGGGTACTGGGATGTTGGGGTGTTGGGATGGCAGGGTATCAAGTTATTGGGTGCCAGGGTGCTGAGGTGTTGGGGTGCCAGACTGTTGGGGTGTTGGGGTGTCTGGGTGTTGGTGCCAGGCTGTTGGGGTGCCAGGCTGTTGATGTTTCTGGGTGCAGGGGTACCAGGGTGTTACAGTGCAGAGCTCTTGGGGTGACAGGGATGGGATGCCAGGGTGTCAGGGTACTGGGGTACGGGGGTGCCCAAGTGCCAGGGTGTTGGGGTATCAGGATGCCAAGGTGCCAGGGTGTTGGGGTGCCAGGGTGCTGGGGGGCTGAGGTATTGGGTACCAGGGTGTTGGGGTGTCAGGCTTTGGGGATGTTGGGGTACCAGGGTGTTGGGGTACAGGTGCAGCTGGGTTTTGGGGTACTGGGGTGTAGAGGCACCATGGTGGTGAGGCGCAGGGATAGCTGGGTGTTGGGGTATTGGGGTGCCAGACTCTCAGGGTGCCCGTGTTTTAGGGTGCCAGTGTTTTAGGGTGCCAGGCCATGGGGATATCAAGCTGTGGGGTTACCCGAGTGCCCACGGTGTGCATGGGGCGCTGGCGGAGGTGGCCGTGCCACCCTGGCCGGGCAGCCGGGTGACGCCGGCGGGCTGAGCTCACCCACCCTGCATTATTTATGTCCTGCCCGCAGCGGTGCCACCCGGCGCGGGCGGCGGCTGCGGGGCCACTGCCACCCGCGTGGGGCAGTGCCCACCCCGGGGGCACAGACCCAGGCCCGGGGGGGCCCAAGCTCACGGAAAAGGGGGGTCCCCAGCACCCCCAGGCTGGCTGGGCTTTGGGGGGTGACCGCCACCCTCAACCCCGCTGTCCCCGCGGCCCCTCCCGACACGAGGTGTCCCCGAGGGCTCGGCGGGGCCGGCGCGCCGTGTGCCACCCCCCGGGTCCCCCCGCTTGTCCCTGTTTGTCGCCGGCCGTGCCGCTCACCTTGGCTCCCGGGCTAAGGTCACCGGAGCTGCGGCGTGGCGGGCACCGAGCGGTGTCCCCGGGGGCACGAAGTGGGTCACCCGCCCGCCGGCAGGAGCCCCGCTCGGTGCCACAGCTGCCACCAGGCCCTGCCACCCCCCCGCGCCGCGGGGACCCTGATCCGGGGATGTCACCTGGCCCCGCGCCACGCGGGGGAGGGGACCCCAAGGCCGGCGTGGGGACAGCGACACAAAGGCTGCGAGCTGCGCCACCCCCCTGTCGTGCTGGGGGGGGCACGGGCCTGGCGAGGGAGGGTGGCGGGGGCAAAACGCCTTCCCGGGGTGGGGAGGGCGACACGGGGGGTGTCACCGGTGGGGGGGGACGGGACACGGCGCCGGCTGCCAGCGCCATCCCGGGGGGGGCTCGGGGCTGTCCGGGGAGGGGGGAGAGGTGACAAAAACCCTCCGAGAGCCACAGAACCCCCGCCATGAGGCGGGACCCGCCCGGGCGGGGGGGCTCGGAGCCCTCCCGGTACCGGGGGGATGCTCAGAGCTCCGGTACCGGCAGCCTCGACCGCCCCCCCGCCGCATCCCGGCCCGCATCCGCAGCGAGCCGCATCCCGGTCCTGCCCGTGCCCCCCCCGCCTCTCCCGGTTCCCCGTACCCAGCACTCCGGTGGGCGCCGCCGGTTCCGCTCGCTCCTCCGCGGCCGGGCCCCGCCGGGGCCGCTCTCCGTCCTGCGCCGCGGCCGCCGCCGCTTCGGGCATGGTGCGGGGCTCGGCGGCGGCGGCGGGGCCGGTGCATGGGGCCGCCGGGGCCGCCGGGGCCGCCGCTGCCGCCGCCGCTGCGGCCGGGAGGAGGGACAAAGGCGGCAGCGGCGGAGCGGAGCGCGGAGCCGCCGCTCCCGGTTCGCTCCGGTTGGCCGCGGCTCCCGGCCACGCGTGTCCGGCCGCGCCCCGCGGGGGGGTCCCGGGGGGAGCGCGGGGGGCGGCTCGGAACGGGGGTGGCACGGTGGGGCCCCCGCGGCGGCACCGGTGTGCCCCGAGGCGTCCCCCCCCCCGCTCCCCACATCGCCCCCCCGCTGTGCTCGGCCTGTCCCCAGCGGTGTCCCCAAGTGCCACCCCCCCGTGCCCCCCCGTGCCCCCTCAGTGCCCCCCCCCGCCCGGTGAGGCGGCTCCCGGTAACCCGAGCGGGGTGAGCGCTGCCCGGTGACATTTGGGGTGACCCCCCCCTCCCCCAGAGCGGCCGCCCCAGCACGGGGGGGTCCCCCCAAAGTCCCACAAAGGCCCCCAGAGCCCCCCAAAGCCACTCCAAACCGGGGGTCCCGCCCAGCCCGGCCGCTCGGAGTCCCCCGGGATGCGGGAATTGGGCCCGGTGCCAGCCCGGCTACCCGGTGCCACCGGGAGATGTCCCCGAGCCGTCACCTCGGCTGGCACGGGGGAGGCGGGAGCCGCTGCCAGGCCCGGGACTGGGGGGGCACGGGGGGGGCACGGGGTCAACGGGGCCGTGCGGGCTGTCCCTGCCTGTCCCAGTCCATCCCAGCCCGTCCCAGTCCATCCGTGCCTATATCCCCCCTGGAAGACAAGCCCAGATTTTGGGAATTGCAATAGGAATAATAATAATAATATACACTATCTAAATTATCATTATAATTATCATTACCATTATCATTATTGTTATCATTATTTAGCCACAAGAAGAAGTAAATATATTGGTTTAATCTACAAGATGGCGAGAAGACAAGTCAAAGGTTAAAACCAAGCAAAAAAAAAGGTCTAAATGCAAAGAAATATTTTAAGATAAACTCTTATAAATCTGCATGAACCTCTGTAATGGAGTCTATAGAAAATATGGTTTAAGTTAAATAAATATACGTATATTTTTTATATATTTTATATTTATATATAAATTATATATATTTAATACAAAACCACTACAATACTATATTAAATATATATTATTTATATACATAAAACTATATATTTAATACATTCATATTTATATTTATTTAACTCAAAACATGTTCTCTACAGACTGCTCCTTTACAGGGGGTACCTGCATATTCATATCAATAAATACAAATAAAAATAAATTAATTAAAAATATAAAAATAGAAATATCAAGCAAATAGCCAAGCACCCCAGCACCGGATTTTATCTCTTAATAAAATTTATAAATTTTTAAATTTTCTTTCAATATAAATAGATTTTAAATCTTACAAGAATTTAAATAATGTTTCTCACTGGGACCGGGCGGAGCGGAGGGGTTCGCGTGGCTTCACCAGGGCGCCGCCATCTTTGCCCACTAACCAATCAGAAGCCGTGTTTCACCGTAAGCCCCGCCCCTCAGTGTGTCTTGACCAATAGCGTGCGTTAATGGGCGGGGGCGCTGAGGCCGGTGTGGCGGCAGTGCTTCTTATTAACCAATCAGAAGCAGAATCACCGTTATGACCACGCCCCCTCGGTAGGTTTGGCCAATGGCGCGGGGCGGTAGGCGGGGCCAGGCGGGCGCGGGGAGGGCAGCGATGGCGCTGAGCGGGGTCGTGAGGGCGGCGAGGGGCAGGTGAGGATACGGGGGGGACAGAGGGACACGGGGGGACAGAGGGACAGAGGGGATAGAGGGGACAGGGGGGATAGAGGGACAGAGGGGACGCGGGGGGGACAGAGGGGACACCGGGACAGGGGGGACACCGGTGGTGGCTGTGGGATGCGAGGGTACGGGAGTGGGTGAGCCGGGGTTTGGGGGTACCTGGGGAGGGAGGGGGCACACGTGCAGAAGGGTCCCACCTGGGGAGGGGTCTCACCTGGGGAGGGAACACCTGAGGTCAGTGCACACCTGGGGAGGGGTCTCATGCCCACGGGGCTGGGGACACGGGGGTCGCGCCCCCTTCGTGCCCACCGGGGGTGCCCATAACGCCCCCCCCCAATTCCCCAGGTGTGCGCGGGCTCTGCGCTCGGTGGTGCCACCTGCGGCGGGCACAGGTGCCACCCGGGGCACAGGTGACACCAGAGGCACAGGTGCCACCCGGGGCACAGGTGCCACCCGGGGCACAGGTGACACCAGAGGCACAGGTGCCACCCGGGGCACAGGTGACACCCGGGGCACAGGTGACACCATCTTCGCGCTGTCCTCGGCGCCGGGGCGCTGCGGCGTGGCCGTGATCCGGGCCAGCGGGCCGGGCAGCGGGGCCGCCCTGCGCAGCCTCACCGGGACCCCCGAGCCCCCGCCCCGGGTTATGGCCCTGCGGCGCATCCAGGACCCCCAGACCACCGAGACCCTGGACAGGGGGCTCGTAGTGTGGTTCCCAGGTGGGAACACGGGGCTGGGGACATGTGGGGGGGACATGGGCAGGGGACATGGGGCTGGGGACACAGGGATGGGTACCTAGGTCTGGGGATATGGGGCTGGGGTTTGGGGGCCATGAATTGGGGTTTGGGGACACAGATGTGGGGTTGGGGACACGGGGTTGGGGTCGCGGAGCAGGAACTGGGGTTTGGGGGCATGGGGTTGGGTTTTGGGGGCAGGGGGTTGGCAGCCGGAGGTGCCCACCCAGCCCCGTGTGCCCGCAGGGCCCCGCAGCTTTACCGGGGAGGACTGCGCCGAGCTGCACGTGCACGGGGGGCCCGCCGTGGTCAGCGGGGTGCTGCGGGCCCTGGGTGAGCCCCGACCCCCTCCTGACCCTGCTCCATTGTATCCTGTCCCTATTCCCATTCCCTCCTGCCCCTATTCCAGCCCTTCCCGATCCTTTCCCTCTTCCCCTTGGGATGCCGGGTGATCCTCCCCACCACTTTCCCCCCTTCCCTTTGGGATTTCGGGGATTCAGCCTGATTCTCCCCTGTCCCATTTCCCCCTGTACCCTTTCCCCTTTCCATTGGGATCCCGGGGGTTCCTCCTGCTCCCTCCACCCCATTTCCCGGTCCCCCCCCTCCATCCCGCCATGCCCGGTGTCCCCCCAGGCCGTTTGCCGGGGCTGCGTCCGGCCGAGCCGGGCGAGTTCACCCGCCGGGCGTTTGCCCACGGCAAGCTGGACCTGACGGCGGCCGAGGGGCTGCGGGACCTCATCGGGGCCGAGACGGAGGCGCAGCGGCGCCAGGCGCTCCGGCAGATGGAGGGCGACCTGGGCCGGCTCTACCAGCGCTGGAGCCACTCCCTCACCCAGGTGGGGCTGACCTGCGGGGCCGCCGAGCCCTCCCTGGTGGCCGCCGAGCCCTCCCTGGTGGCCACCGAGCCCTCCCTGGTGGCCAGCAGCTCAGGACTGACTCCCAGCCCAATGGCAGGCACTCGCCCACCTGGAGGCCTACATCGACTTCAGCGAGGATGACAACGTGGAGGAAGAGGTTCTGACCCAAGGTGAGCCCCTGCTGTCCCCATGTCATGGCTGTGTCCCCATGGTGTCACTCTGGAAATGGGGACATCCAGGGGGCTTGTCCCATCCAGCCACTCCAGGTCCTTGTTCGTCCCCCTGACTGGGACATGGGGTCTTCTGCCCCGGTGTTTTTATCCCAAATTTAGGGGTCAGGACTCGGGGTCTGTTCCAGTGTTTTATCCCAATTGAGGGGTCAGGACCCGGGGTCTGTCCTGGTGTTTTCCCCAGTCTGGGGCTCGGGCCCCGCTGTCCCCAGCTGGGCTGACCCCGCTGTGTCCCCACAGTGCGTGTCACCGTGCGGGCGCTGCTGCAGGAGCTCCGGGGCCACCTGCGGGACGGGCGCCGGGGGGAGCTGCTGCGGGGGGGGGTCCGGGCCGTCATCGCCGGCCCCCCCAACGTGGGCAAGAGCAGCCTGCTCAACCTGCTCTGTGAGTGGGGCTCGGGGGAAAAGGGAGCGTTCCGGGCCTCCAGAGGGAGCCATTCCCTCTGTCCCCAGGCCATCATGTCACCTGGGGTGGGGACTGGGTGTGGAGGGGTTGGGATCATTCCCCAAATCCCACAGGGACCATTCCTGATGACCCCAAGCCATCGTGTCACCCACGGGCATGGAGGGGTTGGGACCATTCCCCAAATCCCCCAGGAGCTTTCCCGCTGTCCCCAGGTCGGCGCCCGGCCGCCATCGTGTCCCCCACGGCGGGCACCACGCGGGACGTGCTGGAGGTGGCCCTGGACATCGGGGGGTACCCGCTGGTGCTCAGTGACACCGCGGGGCTGCGCCAGGCCACCGACCCTGTGGAGCGCGAGGGGGTGGCCCGGGCACGCGCCCGGTGAGCTCTGGGGGTTTTTGGGGCGTTTTCGGGCATTTTGGGGTGTCCCCACAGCTCAGCGCAGAAGGTGACATTGCCCTGTGTGTGTCCCCAGGTTGTGCCAGGCTGACCTGGTGCTGGCAGTGCTGGATGCCACCTCGGTGCCACCCACGCCGGTGGCTCTGGAGGCAGCGCTGGCAGCGCTGGAGCCGCCCCCGGGCACCCCCTGCGTGCTGGTGCTCAACAAGGCCGACCTGATGGGGGGGCATGGGGGGTCCCTGAGTGCCACCAGTGCCCAGGGACCCCCTGCCACCCTCCTGTCCTGCGGGGGGTCCCTGAGTGCCACCAGTGCCCAGGGACAGGGACCCCCTGCCACCCTGCTGTCCTGCAAGACGGGCGAGGGGCTGGAGGCGCTGCTGGAGCTGCTGACACAACAGCTGGCACAGCTGTGAGTCCGGGGGATCCCAAACCCTCGTCCTGGTTTTTGGGGCTGGCTGATCCCCCTTTCCCTGCCTGATCCCCTTTCCCATTCCCGATCCCTTTCCTGTTCCTGATCCCTTTCCCATGCCCAATCCGCTTTTCCCTGCCTAATCCCCTTTTCCATTCCTGATCCCCTTTTCCATTCCCAATCCCCATTCCCACTCCCAATCCCTGTTCCCGTTCCCTTTCCCATTCCCAATCCCATTCCCAATCCCTTTCTCAATCCCTTTCCCGTTCCCGATCCCATTCCCGATCCCTTTCCTGTTCCCAATCTCTTTTCCAGGTGCGGGGATCCCCTCCTGGGCTCTCCCAGCCTGACTCAGAGCAGGCACAGCCGCCACCTCGGGGCGTGCGCGGCAGCCCTGGAGCGCTTTGGGGACCTTGGGGACAGCGGGGACCTGGCGGTGGCGGCCGAGCAGCTGCGGGTGGCGCGGCGGGAGCTGGGCAGGATCACCGGGCACGTGGGCGCCGAGGACGTCCTGGATATCATTTTTAGGGATTTTTGTGTCGGGAAGTGACGGTGGCACGCCATGGGGTGTGGTGTCACCGGCATTAAACCGTGGTGCCTTTGGTGGCTTTGCTGTTGTCCCCTCGCTGGTGGCCATGTTTGGGAGTGTGTCCTGAGCCCCAAATGTGGGAAAAACCCCTGGAAAAAGTCCCAGTTCCTGGACAGGGGGACAAACATGGAGCTGGAGGGGAAAAGCCATCCCCAGTGTCCCCGTTTGAGGTGTCCCCATCCCCAGTGTGACATGGGGCACATCCCTGTCCCCCCCCGACCCCAAGGATTCAATGTGGGGGGTTTGGGACCCCCGGGATCCCTCCCAATCCACGGAATTCCCCCAAGCTGTGGCAGATGTGGGGTCTTGCTGGTGCTCAGCCACCCCAAAAACGGTGGCATCTCCTGGGGACACCCCCGTGCCATCCCCCTGTGCCACCACCCAGCCGGGAGCTCGGGAAGCACCTGGTACTCCGAGATTATCCATGGAGGAATTCCAGGAAATCCTCTGGCAGCGCCTGCGGCCCCCCCAGACCTTCAGGGACAGTGAGACTTTGTCACCTTTGTCACCTTTGTCACCACGGTCCCACCCTGGGGCTGGGCAGGAGGTGGGAGGGGGGAGGTGGCATCGCCATCCTTGGAGGGGTGGCAGGAGGTGGCAGTGCCCTTCTCCCGGCACGGACACGGCTCGGGGGACACTTGGGATGGGGAAAGGGACAAGGGACGCTCCGGGAGGCCTCGGTGGCGCCTGGCGTGCGGGCAGGGGCGGCGGGGCAGGAAAAGGATTTTCCACAGGAAACGCAGCTGTAAATCCTGGGAATAAATCCTGGGAATAAATCCCTGCCCCGCTCCGGGAGGGGCGGGGGACAAGGACAGCACGGTCCCTCATCCTTTGGGGACAAGGACATCCCTGTGCCTCGTCCTTGTGCATTTCCCACCCCTCTCTGCAGAGCTGGGATGGAATTCCCGCTCCAAAAATTCCCGATTTTTCCATGCATTTCCACCCACACAAGCGGCAAGCTGTCTCCAAATTCAGGGCTGGGGGACAAGGACACTGCTGTCCTTCATCCTTTGGGGACAAGGACATCCCTGTCCTTCATCCTTGGGCATTTCCCACCCCTCTGTGTGGAATTCCCGCTCCCAAAATTTCCAATTTTTCCATGGATTTCCACCCACACAAGCAGCGAGTTGTCCCCAGATTCGGGGCCGGCTGTTGTCCCGCTCCAGCCGAAAGGCGGGGATACATCTGAGGGGACACGCGGGGTGGGCTTGGGGACACGGGGAAAAAGGGACAAAGGGACAAAGGGAGGGTGGCCCTGGGGCGGGGGTTGCCATCCGTGCTGCGGGAAGCACCTCCTGGGCGGCTCTCCTGGTTTTCCGTGGGATTTCCAGCATTATCCGCTGTGGGAAAATGGGATCAGGTCAGGGGCAGCTCCAGGAGCCGTGGGTGCCCCAGGGAGGGTGGCCCGGTGTCACCACTGTCCCCTCACCTGGCGTTCTTCAGGGTGGCCGCGTACTGCTCCATCAGCTGCAGCATCTGCTGGATCTCCGCTGGGTTCTGCATTCCTCCTGGGATTGGGATGGGATCCATGGGATTGCAATCCATGGGATGGGATCCATGGAATTGGGATCCATGGGATGGGATCCATGGGATGGGATGGGATGGGATGGGATCTGTGGGATTGGGATGGGATCCGTGGGATGGGATGGGCACCCAGCATGTCCCCAGTCCCCCAGGGACTCACCCATGGTTCCCAGGGTGGCCGGGTTCTTCAGGAGCTCCATGTAGGCACCCGTGCCAGGGAAGGAGCCTGAGCGGGCAGAGCTGCCCAGCCCCCGCGAGCCTGGCAGGTCCAGGTGGGACATCTGGGGGGACAGTGGGCACTGCTCAGGGTGGCACCGCTCAGGGGTGGCAGTGCTCCCAGCAGGAAATTCCCACAGAAACAAAATCTCGGTGTCAGGAAGGAAAACTCCCCAGTCTCTGTGCCCATGTCCCCATGGGAGTCCCCATGTCCCCAGTGCCCAAATGTCCCATGTCCCCATGTCCCCATGTCCCCGTGTCCCCATGTTCCCATGTCCCCGTGTCCCCATGTTCCCATGTCCCCGTGTCCCCATGTCCCCATGTCCCCGTGTCCCCATGTCCCCACCTTGGTTCCCATGCAGACCCCGAGCTGCTGCCTCAGCGACTCCTCCATTGCCGCTGCCGCCTTCCTCTTCTCCTCCAGCTCCTTCCCCACCTTCTCCTTGTCCGCCTGCAGCCTCTTCCTCTCCTCCTCGCCGTCCTTCTGGTGCTTCTCCAGCCCCTGGATCCTCTGCTGCAGCTCCCGCGTGTCCCGGGAGCAGTTGTGGCGGCACTGCTGCACGCTCAGCTCGCAGCTGCTCCTCCACATGAAGAGCGAGTCGCGCTCCTTCTGCCGCCGCAGCAGCTCCTCCACGCGCTCCCGGATCTGCCCCAGCTCCTTCTCGGCCTCTTTGCACTGATATTGCTTGGCCAGATCCAAAACCCTCAGGATTTTCTCGCTCACGTCGCTCTGCAGGGAGCTGCAGTGCTGTTTCTGCACTTCCAGCTCCATCCTGCTCAGGTGGCCCTCGGTCCTGGTGCTCTGCAGGTCCTGCTGGCACTTGTCCCTCTCCTGGGTGGCTTTGGTCAGCTCGGCCTGGCTCTGCTTCCTGCTGTCCTCCACGGTTCTCTTGGAGGAGCTGGCCTGGTCCAGCTGCCGCTGCAGCTGCAGCTTCTCAGCTTGGGGGGAGTTGGGGGACAGGGTTTAGCTCTGGGGAATTTGGGATCCGGGGGTTTGGGTCCCCCCAGGTGCCACCTCATGGCTTGGGGTGACGCCTCTGCCTGGCACGGGTCATGTGGGGGTGCCCAGGAGGGTGGGGAGGGAGAGTTGGGGGTCCCCAAGGGGTGGGAAGGGGATGCTGGGGTCCCCAGGGATTTTTGGGGCTGGGGGTGTCTCTTACCGGTGCAGGTGCTGTTGATGAGGGTGGTGACCACCTGGCACTCGGTCAGCCTCACCTGCCAGAACAGGAGCTCCCGCAGCTGCGCGGGAGGAAGAGGAGGAGGAGGAGAGGGGTCAGAGAATCCCAAAAGAACCCCCCGGCATCTCCTCATGGGCTCTGGGAGAGCTCCAGGGCAACGGGAGGAAGAGGAGGAGGAGGAGGAGGTGGGGAGGATGAAGAGGGGTGAGAACATCCCAAAAGGATCCCCTGGCACCACTTCAGGGGCTCTGGGAGAGCTCCAGGGAGGAGGAGGAGGAGAAGGAAGAGAACGCCAAGATTGGAACCCCCTTGACCAAAACCCCACGGCACTTTCTGGGGTCCCCTCGCCGCCACCACCCGCAGGGACGAGGAGGCGACAGCAGCGTCACCCGCAGGCGGTGCCACCCTCCCGCGGGACTCCCAGGAGCCCGGGCTCACCTGCGGGATGCTGCTGGAGGCCTGGCTGCTGTTACACTTCTCCAGCTCCCTCTGCACCTTCAGCGCCATCCCCTGCACCTTGTCCCTGTCCTTCAGGGTGGCGTTGAGCGTGCGGCTCAGGTTGGCGTTGGTGGCACCCAGGGCGACAATCCTGCGGTAGTGGCTCTGCACCTGCTCCTCCAGCAGCCTCAGGTGGGTGTCGGTGCCCGCCTGGGCGTTCCCGTACACCATGAAGAGCACGAGCCCCAGGATGATCAGGAATTGGATCAGCGAGGTGAAAAGGAAAATGTACTTGAGGTAAAAACCGCAGTCGCGCTTCGGCATCGCCTCCTTGTGCTCCAGCCCGAACTTGGCCATTGCAAAGCTGCTCTTCTCCATCCTCGCCGCCGCTCTGGCCGCCCCACCCCGCGGGGACCGCGCTTTTCAGGGGGGCCGCGCCGGGGCGGGGCTGCTCCCGCCGCCGTGTTTATATCCCAGGATTTAATATTTCCTCCTGCCGGGCTCCTTCCTGCCGTGCCGGATGCTCCCGGGGACCCGCCGGGTTATCAGGGCACAGCTTCTGCTGGGGTTGTTGTTCCTGAAGTGTGGAAAGGGAAAAAAAAAGGGATTTCGTTCCCTCCATCCAATTTCGGTGCCTGGAGCGCCCCTGGAATTGTCTGCCCCAAAATTGTCACTCTCAGCGTGAGAATTCCAATAAATTCAATCCCGCTGGGTGATCAGGGCGCTGGGATTGTTGTTCCTGGAGTGGAGGGGAAAAAAAAAAAGGGATTTCATTGCCTCCATCCAATTTCAGTGCCCGGCGTGCCCTGGAACTGTCTGGAATTGTCTCCTGTCCCCACATTCCCACTGCCGGCGTGAGAATTGCAGGGAATTCGATCCCACTCCCTTGGGATTGTCTGGAATTGTCTCCTGCCCCAGAATTCCCACTCTCGGCACGGGAATTCCAGGGAATTTGATCCCGCCGGGTGATCAGGGCGCAGCTTCTGCTGGGATTGTTGCTCCTGGAGTGGAGAGGGGGAAAAAAAGTGGGATTCCATTCCTTGCAACCCATTTCAGTGCCCAGAGCATCCCTGGAATTGCCTCCCGCCCCAAAATCATGGGATTCGATTCCCCCCATCCCATTTCGGTGTCCTGCGCTCCTGGAATTGCCTGGATTTTGCCTGGGATTGTTTGGAATTGCCTGAAATTGTTTAGAATTGTCGGGAATTGCCTCCCGCCCCAAAATTCCCACCCCTGGCACGGGAATTGCAGCGCTGATCCCGCCGAGAGTGCCGGGGGGGACCCCGAGGGCGGCACGGGGGTGGCACACGGGGACGGGGACAGCTCGGGTGGCACCGAGTGAGGCGGGGACGAAGCCCCCGTGGGAAGGCAGGGCAGGGACGGGGACAGGGACCGGGAGCAGCTCTGCCGTGGCTTCCCAGCATCCTTGGGTGCACTTTGAAGAGGGTTTCCAGGAAAGTTGGATTTTCCTGCGGCCGCATCCTGTGCAAAGGGCAGCGACGCATCCGGGCCCCCCCACCCCGAGCCCCCCAACCCGCCGGGAGGAGACAGAGGTGACATCCCAGTGTCCCGCCCCCTCCCCGAGACCCCCGTTCCCTCAGGGGA